TATAAACGCCTCGTAAATATTTCTGAAGTCGTGTCAAATGTGGCCCATGAGAGGTGAATAAAACTGCCGTTCGCACTTCCACGACGAGCGGAATCTAATTCAATGAAAATTATTTTGTGGCTTCGTTAATTAGTTATTAACATTTAAAAATTCGATGTTTTTGCCCCTAAAATTGACAATCCGATTTGCATCGATGGACGTTTTCGGCATACGCTCAGCTGATCACCGCCGATCGATGCATGTCGATAACCGTAAGTAGGACCGTACCTATAAGAAATTTGTGGGCTTACCTTGGGTGCTGGAGATGGGAAATTATTTTAAAGCGATGTATCCTAGCATTCAACCTAATCACTCGCTCAATCCGCAAGAGCACATCGAAACTCGCTCTATGGGATTTTCGAGTCAGGAGGGTGAATGCCTTTTTCTATCCAACGAAATGAAATATCCACACGAGTACACATGCACCGAAATTATCCCGTTCGTAGTGTCCACATGACACGAAACACACAGTCACAATCCACACTAAACACTGAGCGCAAAATGACTCCGATAAATTCTTAAGCTTTTTAATCCTCTACGCGACGCACTTGCCACAGGATAACGGTTAAGAAGTTATTGTTCGGAAGTTAACAGAAGAACGCACGGTTCCCGCAGGAGTGTAATGTGAAATACGCCTGCGCTATTAATGCGTAAACATGTCGTGACCATTTGATATTTATTTTACATTATTATTTTAAAACGCATGTTCGAGAAAAGAACATGAAAATTAGTAGATGTAAAAAATTGTGTTGGGGAAACTAAGAACGTAAAATGTAAATTATTGAAAGTATACATTATTTCTTTTTGTGATCCGACACTGCGTTTAGGCATCGATAGTATTTTGTTGTTTGCGAAAGTGTACACAGCGGTCTCGAGTTCAGGATAGCTTCAATTTCAGTCAACAAAGTGTTGAGCTGTTCATATGTTAGCTTATGATCTTTCAAAACACGTTTTAAATGATGCTTGAAATTCTTCACAGCTGCCTCCCAGATACCCCCAAAGTGAGGAGAGACAGGAGGATTGAAATGCCATTCAATTCGTCGTGATAATGCAAAGCTTTCTGCAGCCTCTCTAATTCTAGGGCGTCTAACGGGTTGTAAATTTGCCGAAGCTTCTGATTTGCTCCTACAAAATTGGTCCCATTGTCAGAATAGATATGTTCTGGTACACCTCTTCGGCCGATAAATTTACGCAAAGCAGCTAAGAAACCTGAGGTTGAAAGATCTGTTGCTACTTCTATATGGACAGCTTTAGAAACCATACAGATAAGAACACAACCATAACTTTTAATAAAATGTCTGTTGCGCTCTTTTTTTTCTTTTATAAGAATTGGCCCAAAAAATCTATTCCGGTACGACTGAAAGCCGGGGCCTCAGTTACCCGAGATACGGGAAAGTCAGCCATTTGAGCTTGCATTATTTTTGGTCGTTGTCGAATACACTCGATACATCGGCGAACAATCCGACGGACCTGATTCTTTCCGTCGAGAATCCAAAAGCGTTCACGTAAGCTATACAAAGTCGATTGAATACCGGCATGCAGGTTAGTTTCGTGATATTCCCGAATGATGAGATCGGATACATGATGCTTACTAGGCATCAACAAAGGATGTTTTTGATTGTAAATTAAGTCAGTCTTTTTTAAACGACCGCCTACTCGAATCAAATTTAGTTTCGTGATATTCCCGAATGATGAGATCGGATACATGATGCTTACTAGGCATCAACAAAGGATGTTTTTGATTGTAAATTAAGTCAGTCTTTTTTAAACGACCGCCTACTCGAATCAAAAACGATTCAACTCATCCAGCTTGGTACTTTTCCGAAAAGGAACAGAGATTTCGCCAGGAGTGGTTTCCCGAGCCGTTTCAAGGAATTTGGATGGAATCTTTTTAGCATATCTTTCGCGTTGGACTAGTGAAATAATTAAAGTCTCCGCCTCCTTAATTTCAAGGAGAAGTAATTGACTCCCTTGACACCTACTAGAGTTCAAGCTTTTCAAATTTTTCCAACGTAGTAAATATGCAACAACTCTTAAGAGGTGAGAATAAGATGAAAATCGAGTGTAAAATTTTATAAAAAAATCATGAGTCTCATGTGCTAATAAACACACTTGTTTCTTCAGTCCGACGTCTTCCTCTACTAACCGTTCTATATGCTTAGGCCAATCCTTCTCCGAACGAGATAACCAACAAGGACCTGACATCCAAAGTGAATTTTTGAGAAAATCGGATGGTAATTGACCTCTAGATAGAGAATCGGCCGGATTATCCTTAGAATTAATATGTCTCCATTGTACTCGATCATCCAAAGTCTGGAGATCCGTCACCTGATTAGCTTCGAATGTTCTTAATAAATGAGGTGCTTTCTTGAGCCAACTGAGTACGATCATGGAATCGGACCAGAAGATTACTCTTTGGATAGGAAATTCCAATTGTGCGTTTGCTTCAACGTAGAGCTTTTCGAGAATTGAAGCAGTACAAAGCTCTAAACGAGGAATGTTAACACCATTTAAGGGAGCTACCCTTGATTTACTGCATAAAAGATTTATCGCGACACGACCTTTGGCATCAGTAGTCCTAATAAAAAGACAGGCTCCATACATACATATCCATACATGCTTGCATCGCAAAATCCATGAATTTCTATGTTAACCG